ATACATATATATATATATATATATATATATATATATATATATACATATATATACATATATATATATAATATAAATGCGCAAATGCATAGGCAAAATTTCCATAACCATCTTCGAATGGAATTTCTTTCTAGGATGACGTGCGAAGTGTCAAATTGTTGAAGAGACGACGCTGATGAAAGAAGTTTATCGTATGAAATATTGCATCCAGCTGGATTTAACGTCCGTTCGAGATTCTATTTCAAACTGAGATAATTCGATGTCATGAATTTATTAAGTGGCAATCTCTTCTTCTTGTGATGTTTTAGATATTGCAACTTGGTAAACAATTAAATGCACAGTAGGTAATTACTTAATCACAAATATATATATACACTTACACATATATATATTTTTGTACGTTACTTTGTATTGTATATATATATATTTTTTTTTTTATTTTATATACTACATTAGTCAACATAATGTTATTTACTTTTTCACATTTTAGTATTTATATTTTATTTTTTCGGATATTGCCTGATATTTTGACAATATAATTATAAGGACTATTATTAATGACCTTGATGAAAAATGAATTTTCATATTTAATATATAAGGAATCTCAGTTTTTTTTTCTGCAAAATCTTACCAGCATATTCATAAGATGTTAGATAAACAAGGCTTGTATACGTTTAATTACAAAGTTATAACAAAAATACGAAATTACATTAATCTGCTTTTTTGTTCAATACTACATAGGAATAGATTGTTGATCTCAATTGTAATTCCGTTTCAAAATGTTATCCGTTATTATGAATACAGAACTGGCATCTACGGAGAATGATATTTATTATATTAATAATTTCTTTCTCTTTTTCATTCTTTTTTATTGCAACAAATGTGTCATGAATATTAGCATTAATTCTTGACGCGTATTCATTTGTATTTGATAAACTTTTTCTTTCTATGTTCCTTGCAGTCTAGCTGTAATTCATTTAGTAAAATGAAACACCAGTCCGTTATCATTTCGTATTTTTGTTATAACTTTTTAACAAAGCGTTTAATAGCACATGTTTGTATAACATTTTGTTCTGATTTTTATTTATTGAATATAGTGATAAAATTTTATGTAAAAAATCCTGATGCAATCCTGATACAACCCTATTTGTATATACAGGGTGTAATAGGCGAATTTGGTAAAAAGCTTGTTCTATTTTAAAGCTTAGTACTTAGAATTTAGGATAGTTTACTGATTTAGTTTTCTTTATTTACCAAATTTTTTATATCTCATTAACGAAGACAGATAACACATATGTTCATAAGTTCCCAAAGTATTTCTTACATGTCCTATTACACTCTGTATGTATATATGGATTATTATAGTTTTATAATAAAATAATTTATGTTTTGTTTTTGTATTATTTGGCAAAATTATATGTTAAGAATTATTTTTTATGTATTATCAAAATTGTTTTATTGATGCGAAACAAAATTGAGAATAAAAGTCAAAATCTTTTTAGTGATATGTTTTTTCTCTCAAGTAACATATTGGAAAACTATATAATTTATAATATATAA